GCAACTAAATGTACTTGACTAAAGGATTAATTAAATTAGAAAATTGTGAAGTAACCGATGATGAAGCAAAATAGTTTGTAGCTTATTTTCATTTTTGCTTACTTTGCTTATTTTCCCAATTAAAATGTGTCTGTCCATAAAATGCCCGAATCAAAGATGCAATCAAATGGCTTGTTTTATTCAACCAAAAGTCTAAAAGACAAAAACAGTCAGGTCACAAGGATATAAAGGTAAGAAAAACAACACATCATATTGAGAAGAGTTCATTGTTGGGCCACTTCAGATTCAGTGCTTATTGGTATTGATTCTACAAATCTCTGAACTCCACTGCAGGGAGGGAAAACTTATTTTCCAAAATATATTCCGCCATTTAATTTTTTATTGATGGTGGTGAACACGCTGACAAACATGTCAATCTGAAATCTCCCATTTCTCTGGTAACTGTTAAGACTATATGATTCACATCATTTCCATAAAAAACATTCAGTTAGCCCCTCTTGTTGAGGGGATGGGGGCTTTTTCTAGACAGAAATGTTTTGTCACAGGATGATGTCATCGAACGACTCATCACTGTGGACCAGTGGCTGTGGTCTTTGCACCACTCATATCTCCTGCTGTGCCTCCATAGAAACACATGTTCACCTATTCACAATATGATCGGTTAGGTCTCGTTTTTTCCCATCCATCCCTCATACATCTCCATCCATCCATCTGAAACAATTGAGCCGTCTCTGTGACTGCAGCTCCTGCCATCCATACCCCAACGGTGAACCCCTTTCAAAGTCACTCAGATCTATTCCTCTTGCCTTTAACCCATTCAACATATAGACATATATCATAAATACATATAACTGTACCATGCAGGTACACGTGCTGTACACTCTCTGTTCATTCAGCTCTTTCCCTTTGATTTGTCTGCAGTTGATCATTATTCATTAACCAACTCCCCTTTACAGTTTCAACAAAATAACACAGTAAAACAAATCAAACATTATATACCATGATACATTCATGTAGAATAAGATAGATATTGAACTGYAKCTTAATGGTGTTATTTTTACTAAGAAAAGTGACTGAAGTCTTCTTACCGTTGTTGTTCACAGCTGAGGAAGCACATGCACACACCAGAACCAGCAATGTTGGAAACACTGGAAACATCCTGCTGGTTAAAAATGAAGCAAAAACAACAAAATTAAAAACTACTATATTAAATAATGTTGATCCACGTCGGTTGTCTGCGTGTCTCGTCTCTCTCGCGGACTCTTTCTGCTGCTGATCATGGCCAGTGAGTTGGTTTCCGCCCAAATACCAAAGGAAAAAACACAAAACCCCGAACAGCCAATCAACCACAGCATCTGCACACACAGAGACATTCCTGTCCACTGAGGTCACACCGACACCACACACATCCACTTCTATACTGACTGCACCACAACTGGACCTCAAGTTGTATTAACGGTTAAAGGAGGCAGTGTCGATTCTTGGCTGCAGAATAAATTATCAATCCTCATTCCACTGCTGTCAGACTCTACAACAACAATATGAACTTAATACTGCACAGTTTGTCCACATTACAGCTACTCATCCTTACTTTTGCACGTATATACACACACACACACACACACACACACACACACACAGTAATGCAGAGTTAATAGAATTTCAGTTTCTCACAGTCTGTTTGACCCACTGCTCCACAGGGACTCAACCCAGGAAAGGCCATTGCAGAGATCAAGAAAATGATGGCGACTTACAAAGAGAAGAAAGCAGCAGCTTCATGAAGACCATGCTCACTAAAGATTCA